GTTCCCTGCAATCTCAAACTACTTAGACACTCTATATCTATATTTTACAATAAACAAAGAGGGCTCTATTTTGACGGTCCATGCGCAGAGCGCAAAACGCAGGGCGCAAACGCTTTCAGGGCGTGTCAGAACGCATTTTTGCTAATTTACGGATGGGAAAATCGGCTTTGCGCCGTGGCGCATAGTCTAAAAGTGTTGAGTTTATTTTCTTAATGAGTTATAAGTGTGTTTTGAGAATAAACCAATTAAGAGTCTCATCTCCCATTCCCTTTAAGAGCCAGCTGCGTCGCGCCAAGAGCGCATTCGCTATTTACAGGACGTAAAGTAAGTCTAAGTGGAAAAACTGAGCATTTCACTAGCAAACAGTTAACAGTTGACAGTTTTTTTAACAGAAAACTGTTAAACAGAGCATCTACTGCGTGAGAATGAGATATTGGATCACTTTCACTTTCGGATAGGGAAACCTTTAAGCACAGACATCAATTAGTCTATAAATAATTAATTGCGTTTGTTAAGCGCAAATATTCGTTTCAAAACTATTTCTAAATTCAGTTCTAATTTCCAGCAAACGAATAAATGAACAATAATAACGAAGTGTGTTCAAAAACCTGAGTTATATCCTAAAACACATGGTCTAAAACCTGACATGGTCTAAAACCTGACAGGTGGGCAAATCTAAGCTTGTTTTTAATAAAACAAATATAAATATGGATATAATAAATGATACTGCTAATAATAATAACATTATACAAAAGCAAATTGTTATGAATGAACTGAAAAAGCCTCCCGAGATGAAGAAAACATAAAAGCAGTGATTTTTCATATTTATGTAGGCTAGAAATTATATGTTTTTTAATATTTTAATCCTATATATTTATATCCTATATCTATTCTTATTATATCCTATATATATATCGTTAATATTAAAATTTTTTCATATGTAAAGATATTTGCCTATTGCTCTCTTGTGCGTATTAAGCAGTGTGTAAGCGAGGCGCAACTCTGCGCCGGAGTTTAGACCGGGTTTGTTTTGGTCTAATGAAAAATCTATTTTAGTTTCTCAAAATAGCAACGTGCCAGCATTGCGCCTCAGAACGCCTTCCTTTTTAGACCAGAACGCCAATGGACGCACATATGAGCGCTAATGCATTTGCTATTTAAACAGCGTAGCGCAACGCCTCAAAATGACTCTTCCACCAAGCTGAAACTACCAAACAAGTATTGCGAAGCGCCTTGCGCCACATTGCGCCGGGTGTATGATAGGGCCCAAAATGTTGTTTCTATATTTTTTTATATGACTTGTATATGAGATTGTAGTTCTTTCTAGTATTAAAGCATTTAAGCACATTCTTGCATCATTGTTTTTTTTTTCTTTTCTTTTTTTGTCCAATTTTCAAATACTTTAATTCAAGAGCAATTATTTTGACTTCAAATCAATGTTGATAATGTCGTGGTTGGTTCACCTTGTAGCTGGCTGGTTTGATTCATGGCTTATTAAGTCTTAAAAACCTTTTTAAGAGATGAATGAGAGAAAACACTTTCAAAATGAAGGCTGCTGAAAGCGTGGGGGGACTCTAATGCACTCTACAGAACAACAACAACAAAGAAAAAACCTGCAATTGATCAGCAAAACAGATTACAATGGTTACACCCCCAAACTCATTAACTGAGCCAGTGTTGTTGAGTCTGGATGATCAGAAGACTTAAAGGTACAATTTACCTAAAACTGAAAAATTGCTGTTAAGGTCATCCTGAGGTGACTTTATTCTTTCAGTAGAACATTAGAGAAGGTTTTTAGCTGAAACTGTGGTTTATGGGGACTCATAAATTTCAAGTCAAGGGCTACTAGTACTGTAAAGCATAAAAAAATTACACGGGTAAAACAAAATGAATACCCATGATTTCTGTTTATACACTGAGGTCTGATGAAGTCTGAATAGGAAACTGAATGTCCTTTACTACATAATGTACCACAGCCTCTTCAAATGGTGCGGAGCGTGACAGTCTGGAGCTCAGTCAAATCAACCATTTGTATCATTTCAAAGCATTAAATCAATGAACGGCTTTAAAACAGTTTGCGGCCATTCTGTGATTTTAGTGTGTATATGGTACGGTTTGCTGTAATAATCAGTGGTACACTGAGTCGCTTATTTATCACAGCAGAATGAACCGCCAACTATTTCAGCATGTGTTTTTACACAGCGGATGCCCTTCCTGACCCAACCCTGTACCAGGAAAGATGCATACACACTTACATTTACAAACACAATCAGACACTAAAGTCAATTTAGTTTTTTTTAATTCACCTATAGCGCATGTCTTTGGACTGTGGGGGAAACCGGAGCACCTGGAGTAAACCCAGGCTAACATGGGAAGAACATGCAAACTCCACACAGAAATGCCAACTGGCCTAGCTGGGACTTGAACCAGTGACCTTCTTACCGTGAGGCGAGCGACAGTGCTAACCACTGAGCCACCATGCCACAATGTTTTTATTTGAATAGAAATAAAAATAAACATTCAGTATTAAGTTGGACAACAGGAGGCTAAATGCCATTTCCATCCTGAAAGGTCTGCTCTCTTTCATACAGATCCAGAATTTCACTTACAAAAATAAATAGTATATGCAGAAATAATAAGCGTTATTTCAATACCCTTCTAAGACTTTTTAAAAACCTCCTCTGAATATTTTAATATTTTATATTTCTAATCAATATCAAACCTTTAACTTAATAAACAGTTGTTAATAAACAGTGGTAGATAAATAAATCAATGGAGCACAACCATGCAACAGAACTCCGATAAGCTCAGAAGAAACAAAGCTTGAAAGAATAAATAACGCGGTTGTTTTCTGCGACAGGCTTCAGCCACTGTTTAAACTCGTCTTTCTCCAACCAGGAGTATGCAAACTTACATTTTCCCATTTTGGTGTGTGTTTTTGCTCAATGGTTTCGCTACATGTGGAGAGCGTCACAGTACCTTCCCACATTTGTCGCAAATTACATGAAATCACCCGGATGGAGGAGCTTGGCTGGACTCAATTTCTTCTCACCACACCGTCCTGAACCAATTGTGTAAATTAAGCACACCGTAGTTAATATTAGGAGGAAAATAAATATATTTATGCTACACTTTAGACAACTGCTTGAACAAAATTAAAGACCTCGTAAAAACGCATTTAAGACTTTTTCATTCCTTTTGTGGGTCTTAATTTTCTTAGATTTATTAACTTTTGATACTTTTTCAGACCCTGTGGACACCCTGAAATATCTTATTTTATCAAAAGTGTGGTCAGTTCTATAGCTTTCTATTCTCACAGCACAATTAGCAAATAAAATGTGAATTTATGGCATAAAAATAATAATACTCACACCCCTGTTTTTATACAAGCTTTTTCAGCATCCAGGATAAGCAACTATATCATTTTGATTAACGATCCAAAAAATGCATCCTCCTTCTCTGTCGTAAACAAACATCTGTGTTTATATTATTAAGCGACAGGAAACTTGTGCTCTCGAGTAGACTATCATGGGCATGAAATAGGCCGTGGTCTAAAGGTAATGTTATCAGGGTTTCTGCAGGTCTCTTCAAGTCAAAAAAAGACATTTTAAGACTATTTTAGGACCATTAGGAATTTAACTTTAGACTTATACAGGGCTAAACACTAAGGTTTTTTTTTCTAATGGGCCAGTTACGTCTTTAATTAGTTTTTGTATTAAAAAAAGATTATGGAAAGGAATGTGTTGCTTTAGTTTTCTTCCCCCGATTGGAGAATTTCATTTGGAGAATTTCCTTTAAACATGTCTTAACATCTGTTTTGTAAATATAAATATAATATAAATATAAAAAAGTTGTGTAGTATGTCGGCCCGATAGGGTAGCTTTACCTGAACGTAAATTAAGACCAGTTTAAAATGATTTAAGACCCACAGCACAATATTTCAGTGAATTTAAGACTTTATAAGGCCTAAATTTTTGCTTTTGAAATTTTAAGACTTTCTTTTCTAATTACTTTTAGGGGTTTTTCACCTTTAATGTGATAGGACAGTGAAGGACAGACAGGAAAGCATTGGGAGCAGAGAGAGGGAAAGGATCGGCATAGGACCTCGAGCTAGGAATCAAACTTGGGTTGCCATGAGCACCTAGGTGCTATATGTTGGTGAACTTAACCACTAGGCTATTGGCGCTGACACATTTTAATACTTTTAAAGAATCCACGGACACCCTGGTTATGGATAATGTGTAAGGGGTTTATCCACTTCATAGAACCTGAGAGTATTGTAAAGAGCCACTGATATTAATTTTGTTTTGCCTGTATGTGTTGTTTTTGTACTCCAAAACTACAGACAGTAGACTTGATTTCATAAATCACCATGATTTCAGCTAAAACTCTTCTGTAATGTTCTACCGACATACATACTGAATAGAATGTACAGTATATTTTGCTATATATCCAGTACATCAGTGTTTCTCAACCATGTTCTTGAATGACCACCAGCTCTGCACATGTTTGCACATCTCCTTAACAAAACACACCCTATTCAAATCCTCAGCTCATTAGCAGAGACTAAAAGACCTGTAATTAGTGTGACAGACTAAGGTGACATCCAAAACAGGCAATGCTGGTGGTCCTCGATGGAACGTGGTTGAGAAACACTGCTGTACATAATATAATCCTCATGACTACATTATACACACCACTTTGGTATTATATTTTCATATATACAGTACACATGTATACAGAGAGATTCTTTAAATGTGAATCTTTTATGTTCTTAAGAATTAATGAAGTAATATAGATTTTGAATTAAAAATGTGGGCAAGCAAACAACTTTTTTCATCAGGGGACACGAAAATATAAACATGATATCAATGTAATACATTTTTATTTCCCAATAAGCCTTTTAGTACATTGAAAACAGAGATTTCAGGAGAAAATGCGAATCTAGCAGTACACAATAACTTGGCTAAAGTGTTTGCACATCATATGTGTTGTCCTACCTGAGATTTGAGGTGATAATCGGCCCGTAGGGAGCGGTTCGGCGCGTGGAGCCACAGCAGGAAGGCACCACTGTCGCATGGTCGAGGAGTCACCCGCAGGGGACAAGGGGGGCTGTCAAAACATCACAATAACTACAAACAGCCTGCCAGGATGTGCCAGTTTGTCATGCTGGAGTAACCACACAAACTACTCGCCTACGGTCTGCTTTAACATCGACCTTCAAATAAAACGCACGTCTGTAATCATGACTTTATTTTGTGTCAAGCTCGCGCTAACTGGCTAACCCCAGCGGGCACGCGCTGCTGTGCAACTGCATGCAAGAATGCATTATCTTCGCCTTTGTTTTCACACTTGCAGATGAACGCAGTGAACTGAAGACAGCTTTTACTTCTGGCAGACAGCGCGTAAAGTCATGCACTACTACAAAAAGTCCCTGATCTTTAGTTTTCGAAAGCGATTCGCGTCTCGATTGATCACTTGCTATGACTGCGGGTGTGAGATGCCTTCATAGCAGCGCAGCTTTGATGCACAGAGCGCTACAGTTACAGTATCGCCGCTAGCATGAAAAGCTATATGCCCTCAACGCGCAGTAATCCGCCTTACCTCCCCGCGCTACCGTCAAACTGCAGCCGGAGTTGGAGATGGTGCGGCTGGAGAGCGGTGTCTGCTCGCCCTGGGTGTATTTTGGCCCTACCGTGCGCTCACTCGCACTCCGAGGCGCTTCAACTAGCTAATGAAGGTGATCCGAGGAGGGTCACATTGTCCTGGGATGCCGCAGCATAATATTACTGGATATATGGAAGTCAACAATTGACCTCTCACCCGCAGCGACAGTCAGTCCCATGTGGATGCAGGAAGTGGATGCCAGAAGAGGCGTCCAGACGTTTACGTTATCTTTAACGACGCGTAAAACGATTCTGTTAGTATTTGTGAGGAAATATTTGGAAGCAGTTGCGAAATGTAAAATTAATATTTACTTTTTTCAAGTTTGTTTACATTTGTCAGATTTAGCAGGACTGCTATTCTGTACGGATTTGTTCCATTTTTTAAACAAAAATGCACAATGAACTACTGCTGAGCACATTTCATGTCATATTAATATTATAGACTAATATAATTATTGGGATGTGCTGAGTCACTTGCCCTAGGGTACTAGACATACAACCACAAAGGGTTAGGAAAAATAAAAACATTGATCAAGACAATAAAATTAGCCTAAGTAATAAACAGTCTACTATTAAAATCTAATCGCCCAACATATAATTATTTATTCAAAACAATCAAAACACAATCCAAAATATTTTTAAATTTGATAAAATACTAAATTTCCACAATGGAAAAACTATAGGCCTACATAAAAAATATATATATATTATTTTAAACTCAAATGTTTCACAGGAACATTTTGCTTTTAACAAATTGTTTTGCTTCATAATTCATATATCTGACTAAATTAGTCAGTTATTCTGTCTGTGTTGATTTACATACACACTGTCCTGTAGTTATTAACATATCCTAAAACATATAATTCCGTTAAATCCCTATTAAAAATATAGTAAAGGATACTCTTTCAAATGTGCATGAATGCGAAGCATAACAGGAATAATCTAATAAGTTAACTGTCATTCATAATCAATTGTGGTTATGATTTTCTTTTAAATAATGCGTGTACTTTTCTGGAGGGTAGGTTTAGTTGTCGATTAATTTCCATCTTCTGAATGAAATGCCAGTTCCTCAGGAGAAATCAATCATAACTGTATTCCTGGTGATCACCAGCCTGGTGTGCATCCTGTAAGATGCTGTATCTGGCTATAAAAAGCTGACATGTTGGCTAGACGTAAACAAATGACCCATCTCTGGCCTGTAAAGACAATGAAGATAATATCCAGGAAACAATATTATTAGAATAGTCTGCTGCCCATCCACACTCAATCGATATCAGTTCTTATGCGAACTAAACCATTTCCCCAAATTAACATGCTTTGTTTAAAATTTAAAAAGAGAAAAGAGATTATATGAATTTCTAGTGTAAAAATGAAATGGCACACTTAAAACCAGGGGTGTCAAATTCAGTTTCTGGAGGGCCACAACACACTTACCTGTGGGCTGCAAACAAACCTGAATGACTCAATTAGTTTGATTAGCTATGTTTAATTAGTGTAATGTGTGTTAAAGGGTGCAAAAATCACTGGTATAAACATAGTTGTGTGACAATAATGTGTGAATTTAGCCAGTCTAATGGTAGAAAATAATTATAGATATATTTTTATAATCACACTTGGTAGAAAAAAACGTCTGTAGAAACAATGATTGATACTCTTAATCGAGGCATAAAAAAATCTAATTTTAATTTAAAGTGACAGTTACACAAATGGCACTATTTTTATCAAAGCCTAAAAGTGGCAGTTTCAAAAAGTTATAAACATTATTTGTATGGTATTTTGAGCTGAAAATTCAAACACTCTAGGAATATCAGAGACTTATTTTACATCTTATAAAAAGGGGCATGATAAGTCACCTTTAAAGCGAAAGTGAGCAGAACTGTGGCTCTCCAGGAACTGAGTTTAATACCAGTGCTGTAGAGTAGACCCTCTCTCCAAAAATGTGTGACTTAATTTATGCACACACAAAATCATTTATTTTGAACAATGCTGGTCACAAAACATTTTGGTAACCACTTTGTGGGGACAAAAAGTAGGACATAAACATTTTTAAAAACATAAACATGACATAAACATTTTTAAATAACCAAATCACTAATCTTAAAGCGCACTAAGTCATATTTTAAACGTAATGTTTTGAATATCGTGTTCTTCTAATGCGTTTCATACAGTATATAAATGATGAGTTACACCCTGTAACAGAGAGAGGGCGCTAAACTCAACGCTAAATCACAGTAAAGCAGAGGTCTGTGATGGACTCCACTGCTCTTCTTGTTTTTCAAGACAGTTAAGATGATCTTCCTATAGATATGACATAACATACCTCAAACTTGGCCTACATTCAAAATACGAAAAATAAAAAAACAACTCAAAATCATTCACAACCATTTCATCATCATCTTTATTATTCCTTATTAGGCCTACTTGAATCTAAAAGTCATAATTATATAGTTTTTAATTTTCCAGAGGACCACATTGGTACTCTTTAAAGGAAAACAGTGAAAATGCATTGCTCTTCTTTTTTGTGTTTGTGTCCCTCTTGTGGACAGAATCTTAGTTTTAATTATGTAGCTATGAACTTTTATTTAGTTCCCCCAAAATGAAAATGTACTAAACATCAGCCACATGAAAGTGCATTTTTTAAAAGACATTTTTTTAATCACAAATGACCACTGTTTCAGATAAAAATCCTCATATAAAAATCCTAAAAAAAAAAATCTCCCTTGGATAGCCCGAGGGTGAATTAACTACCAGAAGTTAACCTTTTGGGGGGCAAACTATTCTTTTAAATCAAACTGAATCTAGTAGCTGGATTATTAATAAGAACATTAAAACAGGAAACCTATCATTTACCTAATGATTTATACACTTACCAGCCTCAAAGTCTGGCCAGTCTGTAAATGAATATCCAGGGCACTTACTTTCTCCTCACAAACACATGTGTGATCGGGACAGTACAGAAAAGAGGAATCCGTCCTGGAATATTTGCAGAAGTGCCATGACCAAAACAAGGGCTTAAACTAGATTGGACTATTTTCAGATGGGTACTTCAGGTGAGTTACTAAAATAAGCTAAATAAATCAATGCTCCTTAAAGTGATTTTTGTTTAAAAACGATGTTTTTACTATGTGTTTCTCTGTCAATCAGTAAAAAGAAATGTTCAAACCTAAACCCCTTCTAAAAAAAAAACAACCACTAAGCTAACGTTGGGTTAGCAGTTTAATTTAATGTCCATATTTAGCAAACATTTGGGTGAAATGCTGCAGATATGCTGTAAAGTTTAGATTTTTAAAGACCTTAATCTAGACATCACATTTTGTTTAATGTGAATGGAAACATGGCTAAAAATGGCACATAGCACTGTATAAATAATATACTGTTCTTATTCTAAAGAGAAAATGTTGCCAAATTGCACTAATCATGATTTTTTTTTGGCCATAATTAAGCACGTTAATTGCTGAACTGTAAAACCCAACAGTCAACTTTATCAACTGAAATGAGTGTAGTTAACTCAAAATGTACTGAAAGTTCATTCTACTCATTTGAAAAGAGTTTTGAACTCATTGGTGAATGTATTGGGTTAATTATTTACCTCATTACTTCAACTTAAATGGAGAAAGTTTGCCGTACTCATATAGTTTTTTAACTCTAATGGTTTGTAGCTATTGGTTTCCTCAAAGGATTTGAGTTGCCTTAACTTATTGGATTTTACAGTACCCAGTTGGTTTGAGTTTTCTACATTTATTGAGTTTTACTTAGCTTAAATTGCTTCATTTACTCAAATGGATTAAGTTACTCAGTTTTTGAATGTAAAATGGTTTGTTACAATCGGTTTCCTCAAATGGTTTGAGTTACCTTAACTTTTTGGGTTTTACTGTGTGAACCAAAACACCCAAAAGAATGGCCAGAGAACCATTATAGGTTTTTTGTAGGTTCTAGTATGTAAACTAGTTCTCATACATGATTGCAAAGCAAAGAACTGCTGAAGACTATTTGAAGATCACATACACTGGAACAAATTATGTTTGCTGTTTGTTTAAACTACTTATTTAAAATAAGCTAAAACAATACAAATATTTTTATTTTTAGGGGACAACGTAATTGTTTTGTGTTCAATCCACTTACATTTGTAAAACTGAAGTTAACTTAATTTCTTCATATTGTGTGGAACCCAGCATGTTTACAGTGAACTTTTCACCAATTTGTTCTCAGCTTTTGAATTGTGTTTTAATGTTTTTGTCTTGTACACTTTTCATCAGCTGAAAAATGTTACCCACTCCACTGAGCATTTAATTCACTCCTGTCAAAGAGTTAATGAAGCATTAATCTAAGCCAGATAATCATATTTTAATGTGCAATATCTGCAGCGTTTCCCTCATGAACACTGTCTCAAACTTTTTTTTTTTTTTTGATGTCCCAAACGTCTAACGAGCCATTATCTGTGTAGTTTGCGGTGCCAAGTGTACAAAGTGTGTAATGATTAACGAAGGTGACATCTCTCCTGTAGCCCAAACCATGTCCTCGGTGGATCAGTGGAGCCTTTGTGTTTGCAGTGAAATGATGTCCACCCACACCGCTCCGCTCCACTTCTAATCTTTCCTTCAGCTTTCACAGTCTTACCCAGAGCACACCGGCAAAATATCTGTAACGCTTGTCAGCACAGCCATGTGAAAATATGACCCTTGTCTTCTCTCTGAGCTTTACTGTTACTCACAGTTTATGTTGTCAAGAGGAAGCTACTGGAGGCTGTAAATTCGTGGAATGACTGCAAATTCATCGCGGACCTCTTAGATGCGTTTGGTAGCTCAACTGTGCAAGCTGTTCCACATTTCAACTGTAAAATTACAATTCAACTTTTTGCACCTGAGGGAATTCAGTTTTTGTTTCAACTTAATTTCAAGAGTTCACACTTAGTCGATGATTGATTATAAGCTTGTTTGGCATGCTGTCCCAGGGGAGAGCCCTGAGCTCAAAATGTCCTTGAACCCTGGGCTCCCTACTGTTTTCTGGGCGAGAGATGGGCTTTGAGAAATGAAATGAAATTCTCTAAACTACCTGTTCAATCTTCAGATCATTGTGTCACTTATGCACCTCAAATAAGTAGTTTTTTTTTTAAACACGTTGCAAATGCTTGCATATATCCATGCAAATGATTACATGCAATTCTCAAATGTTTCCT